CAGGAGCTTCTCATTGGGCGTACTACAGAAGAAAAGCATGGATTAATACCTGGAACAGGTGGTTTAATAACGTCTCCACTTATGAACGGGAAATAAAAATCTCTCTGCTGGACGATGTTTCACTTCCTCGCTTTGCACTCGTGTTTTAACTGATTTAATCAAGTTGAGTCACATGACAGCTCATGTGGCGTGGAGGGGAAAAGGGGAGCGTGGCGTAACCTGACCTGAGGTCATCTTCGTCGCCCATCTCCACCCCGGCCTCACGCAGCATGGCCACGCCCTCCGTGTACTCCAGCCGGAGAGTGGGCTCCAGGAATTTGAACGGCTCGCTGGGGAACTGCTTGCTCACCGTCTGGATCTCCGTCTGGAAGCTAACGAACAAGGAACAAAAGTCACAAGATGAAAGGAACCAGCAGCAGGAAGCTGGACATCAGATCAGATGTTTGATTCTGCAGGATTTGCTAAAACTCCCAGATATGATTTACTGTCATCTGCCTTCTTGCAGCAGCAGATTCCACCACCAGGGGGCGATAAAGCCACACCAGAAGGTTTGATGGATCTTTATTAGTGAAAATCACTTTTTCTCAACAGACTGTTAGAGCTTCGGGTGAGCCTCCCCTCTGCAGCTCTGGAGGCAAGCGTGGCTCCTCGGGCCCTCGTTCTTGTGACTAACAAAGACAGAAGCCTGAGTCATGTTTATATTTAAGTCTTCAACCACATGAGGACAGTTTTAGCCATTTCTCGTGGTTTTATACCGTCAGCAGGAGGCGTGAGTGTTTCTGGACCACACCATGTCTTACTTGTCTCTCAGGCCCTTGAATATCTGCACCATGGTGTCAGTGATGGACTCGATCACTTCGTGGTAATGGTAGTTGAAGGTCATTTCGATATCCAGACCCACGAACTCGGTCAGGTGACGGTGGGTGTTTGAGTCCTCGGCCCTGAAAACTGAACCAGTTTCATGTCAACGTCAGAACAAAGTAAAGAGCAGCGATAAAACAGGCGGCGGCAGAATCTCTTTATGGTTCTGCTTTTGTATGAAGGCACAAAGCTTCGACCTGAAGCTTTTTGCAGCCAACCTTCTGCATACGCCTCGACAAAGCGGGAAATTACATAAAAAATATTTCAAATGATGACATTTTCTCCTCTGAGTGGCAACCGGCAGCATCTTTGCATCCATTTGTTCCCTGCTGGACCTTTTTTCCTCTCTCTTCTCCTTCCTCCGTAGATGGTGGAGGCTAAATTTGAACAGAGCTAAGTCTACGGCCACACAGATGATCCCTGTTCCTTCGTGCTGAATCTGTGTGACCGTAACTACGGCAACAGCAGCCAGCACTATAGCACCTGAAAGACAGTAATGACCTTAAGCCCTTTGATTTGTCTGCTGTGGGGACACAGAAGCAGATGAAACAACCCAAATCCTCAATGTGAATCTGAGAAAACAGCAGAAAGCTTCGTGCCAAGCAGGAAAAAACGAAAGTGTTTGCTAGCTCATCAGATGGCGGCAGTGTTTGCTAGCTCATCAGATGGTGGCAGTGTTTGCTCAGCTAAAGACATGAAGGATCCTCCTGATATGAAAACTTTTACAAGTCCCTCTGAGTCTCTAACCGCCGAGGCCGACCACGGTGAGAGCACCTGAGGGACGTCTGGCCAACTTTAACCACGTTTGAAACGTGTCATCTCAGTTAATGGGGTCTTCGTTCTTTCGTTACGCTCCTGCTGCTCGTCTCGCCGTTTTGCATGTAAGTGCTTTAAGGTGTCAGAGGGGAGGAATTTCCACGTTTTCCATCCTTCCTTACCTGGACCCACGCAGAAGACCTTGTCAAAGTCAGCACAGATGCACATCTGCTTGTAGAGCTGGGGGGACTGGGCCAGGTAGGCGCTGGTTTTAAAGTAAGACACGGTGAAGACGTTTGCACCTCCTTCACTGGCAGCTGGAAGAGGATAAGCAGCACATTAAAGACCAAATAATCATCATTTTAGCTGACTGTCAGATCAAATCCACCTTAAATGAACCAATTTAGAGTAAATCCTAACAACAGTTCACCAAATGACTGAACATCCACCACGTGACTCTCGACACGTCTGGGTTATAAAACACGGCCCAGCCGTGCACGACACACCTGCAGCTCCCCGTTTGACTCGGACGTCATCGGTTGTGATCTGACATCCTCGTGTCACCAAAGGCAGGGTGGGGGGAGACGCTGGGCTTGTGTGATGGGCGTAGGCTTGCAGGAAGATGTGGTTTTACAAAAAAAAAATAAAACGTACAAAGTGTTGTTTGACAGGTACCGCCAAGAGAAAAGAGCGCCACTTTTGAACCGGAGCTAGACACACAACCATTGGCTGAGTAACAAAAGAGGAAGCAGAGGCGGCTTCGATCATTTTGAATTTGAAAACCACGTGGGAGACCGCAGGCTGGAGTAAAACCACGCTCTGGGGTAACAACGTGTGTAGTAGTTTACATAAATCCATACACTCCTTGTCTTTAAGGCACGAACATGAAACACGACCTCCTTTTGCATTATGTGTTGAGAAATTAACCGAACAATTAGGAGAAAGTCCCAGTTTCTTTCTGAATGATCAGTTTTAGGTTTGTTTTTCTGGTCCTAAACCAAAAACAGTGTGAAAATGTGGAAGCAGCGTGGATGATTAAGACGTTCTGTCGACCGTTTTGGGTTTTACAACTCGTCCGTTTTCGGGATCGGACTGAATCATGAACAGTTTGTAACGTGGAAGCGTCTGTGGGGGAAGTCGGCTTCACAACTGTCACACAGTGACTCATCGGACACCTGCGGGTGATGGGAACGAGAGCGTCTCCATAGAAACGACCACAAACACCGTTTAAAGGTTAATTTCAGTGTTTTTACCTGATATTATTTTAGGGGTCTGAATCTCTACGAAGCCCTTCTTGGTGAGGGTGTCTCTGAAGAGCTGGCAGACTCCCGACTGCAGGCGGAAGATGGCCTGGCTGGTGGTGGTCTTCAGGAGGACACACGCACGCACGCACACACACACACACACACACACACACACACACACACACACACACACACACACACACACACACACACACACACACACACACACAGGGCCATTACCACACTTGGAGTGATTCACTGGATTCATTACACAATCACAACAGATGTGAAAAACACGACTGCCAGTTTGTTTTTTCGTGCTCTCCCTCTCTCTCTCTCTTCATGCACCTTCTGTCTGCAGAAAAGTTGAAGCATTAATTTGCTGGCGAGGGCGAGACCTGAATGCGAGCCCAGCGAGAGCCTCGGGAACCCAAAACCCGTCATTATCGGCGTGAACGCTGAAAGCAAAGCAGGGAGTAAACTTCTCTAAGTGAATCAGGAGATTACGGTTAGTCAAACCCCCAAAGGTCTAACTGTTGGGCCACAGAGCAAACAGAAACGTAGAGGTGTACTCCCTAAAAGCCACCGAGTCATCTCAGAAGGCCACACGCTTCTCCACGGTTTACTGGCTTTCTACCCCGGTTACGCATCACCGTGAGGGCACTCGTGTCTGCCCTCTGTCCGCTTCTAAACAGGTCTGATTTGACTAAATGTGGGAAAAAGCAGAAAAGCGATTGCGTTTGAAAACTGGAAAGCTTCTAACTCCACAGTTCACTCTACAGGGCTGAAATCTGAAGCTGCAACCAGTTCAAAAAACAAGAAAATTTTCGAGCTTTCCATCCAGAAACACTTTCAATAACACCTTTGCAAAGCCGTGACTCATTTCTGCCACAGCGCCCCTCGTTAGACCTGGGAAAATCAACCTGAAGGCAGTCTGAGCGCCACGTTCAAACCTTCGAAAGCACTTCCTGTTTACAACTCATCTGCACAGCGTAGGTGTGATGGTGGATGGGTAGGTGGCGGGTAACATCCTGGCAGCTCTTCGAGTTCTGCAGTTCCTTTAAAACGCACCTGAATGTAACCTGCCAGTCAGCTGCACACAGCGCCGGTTTGAAACCCCGACTGTGGTGATAAAATACCACAGCAAGGTTTCAAATCCCCTAAATAAATCTCAGATTAAACCAGAGGAAAAGGGAAAATCCAAACTGGGAAGCTTTAGCCTCGATCCTTTTCCTCTGAGTTGCAGCGTGAAGCAGCTGATGTTTAAGCACGGCTCCGAGGGGGTTTCAGAGGAACCAGACTATTCTTGGAAGAGTTTTATTGGTCCCAGTTGGAGTGTTTGTCTGCCAGCGTGGGAACCACTTTACAGCTTCACCGTGATCTTAAGTGTGAAACTGACGACAGACCTTCTCCTGTGAGCTCCAAGTGCAGCGTGCTACAGAAACAGGTGTTATTGTGAGGCTTCAGAGCGGCGCGCCTCGGTGCTGTGGTGTCGCCGCCTTCCTGCCAGCCGCACCATCCACCCTGAAATCACTAAAACTCTGTGGCTCTCTGCTTCTGTTGCTCACATAGATTTAACACATCTCCCACACGCAGCTCGCTAAATCTCAGACGAGCCCACTCACTTCAGCGGGGACTGTTCGGGTTTGGAGGGTGTTGGTAGTCAAAACAATTTTTTCTCCCTCAATTATTTTCCTGTGAAGCACACAAGTTCCTGGATTTTCCCCGTTTTCTCTCTCTAGTAGTGACTAGGGATGTAAGAAAACATAAATGTTGTTATATTTCGTGTTACGACACTGAATAAATATCTAAAAGTCAAGCATGAATTTACATGGAAGCATTTGCTGCTTTTCTTTCGTGTGGTGCAATTCAAACTCGGACTGCTAGGGGGCAGCAGATTTACCGCATTCATTCTGACAGAAGGTGATCTCGCAGTAACTCTAGATGTGTCTTGGAAGCGTCTGATCTGAGTTTTACAATTAATTCAGTCTTAGAAATTTATAAATAAAGTTAGGCTTCAAATATCACAATTTATCGTATCTCCAGATTCTTGCCAATGCCCACTCCCAGTAGACTTACCCTGAGATCGATCACCCTGTTGTCCAGCCTGGTGTCCTGGTTCACGGTGGCTCGTCCTTCCTGAGGGAGAACCATAAACATCATCGCGATGATGTGAAATGCTCATCAGTGTTGTTTTTGACATCCTAGTTTTAGTCTTTATGCCGAAAATGTATTTTAGTCTTAAGTTTTAATAGACTAAAACTCAAAAAGGTTTTTAGTTTAACATAAAATGAAACCCATCTACTTCCGGACCACGGATCCCAGGAAGAACAAAAAAGTGAATGCAAGTCAATGGGGCTTCTGCGCCGTTTTGCAGCTGGTGGAAACGTGCCCATCGACTAACGGTGGCAAACTGCTGCGTACTACGCTTCGTAGAAGTTACGCAATGCTTACACGTCTGGTGGAAAGGCCCGGCCGGTTGTTTGTGAATATCCCAAATGGGCTTTTAAACCTCACAAGGGAAACAACTAAGTAAAATTAGCCTTTTGATATATTTCAGCATTTTAAAGTGACTACTAGGGTGAGTGATATGGCTTAAAAATAAAAATGTCAGATTTTTTATTCCAAATCTGATTTTCCGATTTTTAGCAGTAGCAACTAGCGCTAATGCCCGGACACAGTGGTCAGCAGCATGAGTGAAAGCACAGCAGCAGATAATTCTTTCTGCTAAAATCATAATATTTGTGGGAAAAGCACATACGTGAACCGCTCTAGCACCAGTGAAATGTGTGGGCTGACTGTACTCTGAACTACGGATGCCCAGGATAGGAAGTTTTTTTTTTTGGGGTATTCCTAAATTACTGTATTGACCTGAATATGAGGTTTTTTTATTGAAAATTTTAAAATGTGGGGTCGTCTTATAATCGGGGTCTAACCATTACACACCCATCACAGCAGAGGGCGGAGGCTGTATTTTCTCAACAGAAGAAAAAAATTGAGACACGAGGTCTGGAGCAGAGTGGACCGAAAGTGGGGCAAATTCATTCTATTCAATTCAAAGATACTTCATTAATCCCAGAGGGAAATTAGAGTTTCAGTACACACAATTCTGAGATCAGACATACATACATAGGCATAGACACATGACAAGAATTGGTGACTGTGGTCATTTGCAACCCGAGTCTCGCTACCTTAATAGAGACCAGAGGGTTTACATGAGGATTGGGTCAGGTGGAGGAAAAAAAGGCAATTCAGAGTTACCCTCCACAGGGAGGGCAGCTTTGCTACACAAAAAACACCTCAGACAGAAATGCAACAGACTTCAGATATTACACAACAGATGTGTCCAATAGGTGGGGAGGTAGGGTAGAGGACTCTCCAAACATCAGTGCATGCAGCCACGATAAGCAGCGCTCGTCACCTCCGTTTGGACAGGGGAGGGAGGTATTTGGGTTAGAGAGCACAGTGACTCCTGGAAACGATTCAACAGCCTTCACCAGACGCAGTCCCGTCCAGGCTGGGATAGGGAGACAGAGTTGCCATGGCGATGGCAGCATTCCACATTTCTTCTGAGGGGGGAGTTATCACTTCAGCCTCACAGGCTCAAGGGCACCAGATTCAGATAAGAACTTGTTTTGGGGCCAGACAGAGATAGTTTCCTCTCTGTCTTAAAGTTCTGTTGGTCCTCAACACCTCTCAATCCAATAATGGCGTAGTTAATCAATCCCAATCCGTGCTGACCCGTCAACTCGCTCCTTGATCAAATCCACCTTCTGTGCCAGAGTCTGAATCTCAGCCAAAGTTCCAAGCTCACGACTCATCTCGGCAATATGAGTTTGTGCGTTCGTGTAATCCATCCCTGAGCTCCGGGATTGAGCCAATATTCCTCTACAGCTAATTAATTTTCCGGTAAACCAGATAACCACTCAGGCCAAAAAGCAGGAAACCTGACACCAACACAACAAATATCCAGACTTCTTCAGAATCCTCTACAGACAGTTGGGAGACTGTTTCCAGAAGTCCATGATATGCCCAACTGGCTCTGTCCAAGAGGGGCAACCAGGAGCCCCTTCTCCCGTTCTCATCGTTGAAAAAATCTTGTCAGTCGCATTAAGAGCCCAACTGACCAGGTCCATTTTTAATAATTTCCAGTTTACAGAAAAAATGCAGAAGCGCCGTCCACCCAAAGACAGACAAAGAGCCTTGGGATAAGATAGGGAGGAGAGGAGGAAAAAAGCGTCTGTACTCTCCAAGAGCCGGAAGACAAGCTATGAGGCAGAGTTATGCAAATTTCAAGATTACGGTGCAATTCAGCAGAGGCGTGCATGGATGTATTGGATGGCGGTGAGGATGACGCTCTGGGAGGAGTCGGCAGGTGTAGCGATCTGATGGTACACCGGGACCGCAGCAGCATGAGTGAGAATGAGAGTGAGTGAGCACAGCGAGGCAGAGGGCGACTTTGATTTCACGTCAGCCAAGTTCTGATAGTTTGCATTAAAATAGTATTTTTGCTCAGTATTTGTTCTCCAATTCCCAACAAAAATAGTTTATGTAAAAATAATTTATTTTTGTCTTTTCCTGAAGGTTAGTCTTGGAAAGGGGGGTCGTCCTATAATCGGGTCAATACAGTAAATCTCCAATTTATCGCCCAGTCCTACCATTAAGATTGGATTTATTAAAACTGAGCACTACAAGAAAAACAAAACACATCTGCAAACAAAGAGCTAATAAAAATACAGAAAATAACAATAAAAAAAGCACAAATAAAAGAGTAAATGTTTCATCACGGGAGGAACTACAGCTTCTTGTCCTCTAACGCAGTCATGGACTCTTCTGGTTCTATAAATCTGTCTTCAACCAAGTCAGGAGATTGTCAGACTCGAAGACTGGGTTCGGGAGTAAGAGCTTTTATTACACATACGGTTGGCTGAAAGCGGTGCTGGAAAGGCTGACGGATGAGGTCTGAGGAGGAAAGGTGGAGGTTTAGCTGTAGTAGCTTTGGAATACTCTGATCATGGATCACGGTGGAACGATGACTGAGTGAAGAGCCGGTGTGGCGTCTTCCATATATAGACATGGATTGACGCAGGTGCAACATGGAGGGAATCCCCGCGAGTGGCATGCTGGGTAATGTGGTCCAAGACTGAAGCCGGTCAGCTGGGAGAGCCCGGCCTGGGGGCTTGGACTCTGACAGGACCCCCCGGTCCAGGGACGGCTCCAGAAGTCCCCGGGCCACCTCGGTGGGCCCAGAAGTCCGAGATGAGGGCAGGGTCCAAGATGGAGCGGGCCGGCTCCCAGGAGCGTTCCTCTGGGCCGTAGTCCGCCCAGTCTACAAGGTACTGCCAGCCCCGACCCCGGCGGCGAGCGTCCAGAATGCGCCGGACTGTGTAGATGGGCTCCCCGTCGAGGAAGCGGGCCGGCGGAGGTACTGGAGCCTGAGGTGGCAGGAGGGGGGATTCCACGTAAGGCTTAAGCCGGGAGGTGTGGAAGGTAGGATGGACGCGAAGGCTTGCAGGCAGCCGCAGCCGGTACGTGACCGGGTTGATGACCTCCTGCACGGGGTAGGGCCCGAGGAACCGGGGAGCGAGCTTCCTGGAACCGGCACGGACCCGGAGGCCTGCCGTGGACACCCAGACCTTGTCCCCTGGAGCATAGGAGGGACCCGGGCGGTGCCTGCGGAGGTGTTGGTGTGAGTAACGGGCGTTGGCCCGGGTAATGGAGGCCCGCGCCTTGATCCATGCGTTCTTGCAGCGTCTCACCAGGGATTGAGCGGCTGGCACCGCGACTTCGGGTTCCTGGTGGGCGAAGACTGGGGGCTGGTAGCCATAGCAGACCTCGAAAGGGGACATCTGAGTGGCCGAGGAGGTGTGGAGATTGTGAGACAGCTCCGCCCAGAGGAGGTACCTAGGCCACTGCGAGGGCTGGGCCGAGACAAAGCAGCGGAGGTACCGGCCCAACTGTTGGTTCGCCCGCTCCGATTGACCGTTGGTCTGAGGGTGGTAGCCAGAAGACAGGCTGACAGAAGCTCCCACTAGATGGCAGAAGGCTTTCCAGAAACGGGCCGTGAACTGGGGACCACGATCTGAGACCACGTCGACCGGGAACCCGTGGAGACGCACCACATTCTCCAGAAACAGTTCTGCAGTGCGTCGGGCCGAGGGAAGGCCCGGGAGGGCGATGAAGTGAACAGCTTTGGAAAACCGGTCAGTGACCGTTAGGATGGTGTCGAGGTCGTTGACCGGCGGGAGACCTGTGACAAAGTCCAGCCCCACATGGGACCAGGGGCGGCTGGGCACCGGAAGAGGTCTGAGGGTGCCAACCGGAGCCTGGGTGGACGCCTTAGAGCGGGCGCAGACGTCACAGGCGCTCGTGAATTCCTTAACGTCCCTCTCCATACGTGGCCACCAGAGAGCCCGTTTCAAGAACTTGAGAGTCCGAGAGAAGCCCGCGTGACCAGACAGGCGTGATGAGTGGGCCCAGGCCAACGCCTCACTGCGACAGGCCGCGGGGACGTAGAGCCGACCGGCGGGGGTCTCTGGCGGCGCTGGGTCTTCCCGGAGGGCGTTTTGGATGGCCTCCTCCAACGGCCACCCAAGGTGGGCCACGAAACGGTGCTCCGGGAGGATGGGCGCCGGCTCGGACGTGGGCGCTGAATGCGTGAACTGGCGGGAGAGGGCGTCCGCCTTCTGGTTTTTAGTCCCGGGGCGATAGGCGAGATGGAACTCGTAGGGTTCGAAGAAGAGGGCCCAGCGAGCCTGGCGAGGATTTAGCTGCTTGGCGGACCGGATGTGGGTTAGGTTCTGGTGGTCAGTCCAGATGGTGAACGGCTGAGTGGTGCCCAGAAGCCACTGCCTCCATTCCTCCAACGCCCATTTTATGGCCAGCAGCTCGCGATCCCCTACGCCGTACTTCTGCTGGGTGGTGGAAAACTTCCTGGAGAAGTAGGCGCAGGGATGTAGCCTGTCATCTGGGCCGCCTTGGGACAGGATGGCACCGGCGCCGACATCCGAAGCATCGACCTCGACCACAAAAGGGACTGCCTGATCCGGATGGCGCAGGATAGGAGCCGATGTGAAACGAGCGACTAGGTAGTGGAAGGCCCGAACGGCATCTGGGGTGAGCCGGAACGGCTGACCAGG